CAGTGGGTCTAGTGGCAGCATCCCCGGAGCCCGTGGGAGCCACCCTGGACTTTGCTCAGGCAGCTCCGATAGCGTGGGATGGGATAAGCGGCTTCGGGAGCTGGGGACGGCGGGGGGATGGTGGCAAGCGAGGTGGGGCTGGGGTCTCAGTCTGGCAGAGAGCAGGGAGCAGATGGGCAACCCCCCCCTTTGAGGGGGCTGTGTGCTCTGTGTGGCTTCGTCTCTTTTTGCAGGCAGGAGGAGAGGGGCAGGGTGGGAAGCAGGAGTGTTTGCAGCCCCTTGGTACACCGTGCCATATCCATGCAACCCCTAGTCCTTAGGGGATCCCACCCAGCACCCACGGCCAACGCCAGCATCCCACAGGCACCCTAAAAGGAGGGGACCATGTCAGGATGGGAGCCCTGGTAACCACAACTGGTGGCATCTCCTGGAGGAGGACGTGTTCAGCTGGCAAGTGGGATTTTGGGGATTTCAGCTGCCACTGTGGAGTAACCGAGGAAGCCTCTGGCCATCTCTCTGAGCATCAGGCTGGTGGCCACGGCTCTTTGGCATGGGAAAACCCACTTGGCCGTGGCTGCAAAGGCAGAGCTGTGCTCCCCAGCGTGCAAGGGCAGGTCCTGAGCCTTTGCCAAGCATTCGATAGGATTCGGGGTTTGCACTGGGAGCAGGGTGTCCCCCCCATCTGTGAACCCTCCTGGCTCCCTCACACTGAACAACAACCACTGGTCGCCTTGGAGGGACCCCGCATCTGGGGACATAGGGCGACCCACGGGTCCCCCCACATCCCCGGGGATGCGGCGTCCCTCCGAGGCCACCGGCTTTTGCTTTTCTGCTGGCTGCCCTCATTTTTGTAGATTTTTTTTCCTGTAGACCTCCCTTATGGGATCTCAGGGAAGATCACTGCACTGAGCAGGACAAACCCTCCCCCTCCTCCTTCCCAGGTGTAATTTTGGGACCTGTCTGGCCAGAAAAATCTGGTTTTTCCCCCACAGGGCAAGCGCAGGGAGGAGCTGGGATGAGGCAGGAGAAGCACCTGAGCCAGTTCTCACCAGCAGTGGGTAAAAGGCTGTTCCCCTGCAGCAGGTCTCTCCTAATCCCTGTTTTCAGCCTATTTTCGTCGTGCTACTTCACCTTTGCCCTTGCAGCGAGACTCCATTGCCCAACCTCCCCCTCGACTACTTCTGCCCTCATTCCTCTCCACGTGTCCCTCCGAGCCCGGTGGGATGGACGTTGCTCAGCCGGTCAGATGATTGATGCCTCTCCATGCCGGTGGAGATGGGGTTTGTGGTTGCGTTGCTATAGATGATGCCCACAGCCACTTCTGCTTTCGGGCAGGAGGGGCTGTACCCATCAGGGTGCCCAGCCTGGGCTCAGCGCCGGCTCCGACTTTGGTTTGATCTTATGAGAAAAGGGATTTTCCCAGAGCTCCTGCTCTCCTTACAACTCCTGGTGTGAGCTTCACCCTGAACGAAGGCGGTGGGAGCGGTGGTGCAGACGAGGCGATGGCCAACACGTTGCTCAGCAGCTCCTGCAACCACAGCTACAACCCTGTCCTGATTGCTTCACCAAGTCAGCAATTCTGAGGAAAAAAGCATGGTTTTTGTGCCCTGTGACTATGAGGAAGATCTCGCAGCTAGGAGACGATGAAATGCGGGCTGGGGACTGCCACGTCCAGAGGAAAGGCTCATGTGGACAAGGAGAGGTCGGGCTGTTCCCTGCAGCAAGGCTCACAGGGCAGTGAGAATGAGGGAAGGGGAAGAAAGCAAAAGGAATCCAAGTGACTAAACTGTTCCCTGCGGATGTTCAGCCACCTCTGCTCCCCAGGGGACAGAGGGAGCCCGGTTGGTCCCTATTTGGATGCTCAGTATTTGCGGTGCAGACGAGGCGATGGCCAACACATTGCTCAGGAGCTCCTGCAACCACAGCTACAACCCTGTCCTGATTGCTTCACCAAGTCAGCAATTCTGAGGAAAAAAGCATGGTTTTTGTGCCCTGTGACTATGAGGAAGATCTCGCAGCTAGGAGACGATGAAATGCGGGCTGGGGACTGCCACGTCCAGAGGAAAGGCTCATGTGGACAAGGAGAGGTCGGGCTGTTCCCTGCAGCAAGGCTCACAGGGCAGTGAGAATGAGGGAAGGGGAAGAAAGCAAAAGGAATCCAAGTGACTAAACTGTTCCCTGCGGATGTTCAGCCACCTCTGCTCCCCAGGGGACAGAGGGAGCCCGGTTGGTCCCTATTTGGATGCTCAGTATTTGCTGGAGCAACATCCCCTGAGCATCTGCCGTGCGTGGGAAGGAGGACTGGAGAGGACCCCCCGAGACCTGCTGAGAGGCCATGGGATGCACACTGCACCGGTCGAGTCCAGGCTGGGCCACCTCTTGCTGCTGGTCAGTGTTCAGGGACACCAGGTGGTCCCTCGTCGTGCTGGGGAAGCTGGATGCTCCCCCAATGCCTACGGCTGCGGTGATGGGCTGGTGCCCAGCAGCACCTTGGCGTGCTAAGAGTTAAGCTGGAAGAGGGAGAGGAGACCTTTGTCCAGCTGCCCCCGCACCTTATCTGCTCGGTGCCTGGGGAAAGCACAGCTGAGGTGAAGTCAACACAGGAACCGGTTTCAGAAACCGTATGTTGGTCAGTGGCACAATCAATGTTTCTGCGTAAGTCAGATATTTTCTTTTATTGCAAACGACAAGGCTGAGCCGCAAAGTTTACAACCCGATCTGAATTTTCCAGCGCTCTCAGACCCAACCCTGAAGTTTGCTCCAGTCTGGGAAAGATGCAGCAGCCGCAAAGCCCGGCCCCGGCACGAGGACCCCGGCACCTCAGCCCCGATGCCAGCCCGCTGCAGGGCCTTGCTTCAGCGTCAGCCAGGAAAACTGAGCAAAGGCACGGATAAAAATAACCCTTCTCTGTGCTTCCCTTTCTCGCTGCCTTCCATGCGTGTCTCGGGATGCATCATGCATGAGCCACGATTGCTCATGCTTTCTCCCACATCCCTTGCACTGTCAGCAAGTCACATGCGCTGCCGTATTCACGGGG